GAACTGCTCTGCGAGGCTGGTCCTATGATCCCCACTTTATAAATGAGGGAACTGAGTCTTGGAGGGGTTCTGACTTGCTCAGGGTCACCAAGCTTGTGAGAGGGGCTGGGCTTTGAACCCAAGGCCTGGTCCGAGGGCTGGAGTTCGTTTAAAAATGCAGAATACAGGGCTTCCCCGGTGGCGCAGTGGTTAAGAACCCGCCCAATGCAGGGGACACGGGTTCAAGCCCTGGTCCGGGAAGATCACACATGCCGCGGAGCAACTAAGCCCGCGAGCCACAACTACTGAAGCCCGCGCATGCCTAGAGCCCATGCTCTGCAACAAAAGCCCACGCACCGCAATGAAGAGTAGCCCCCACTTACCGCAACTAGAGAAAGCCCGCATGCAGCAATGAAGACCAACATAGCCAAAAACAAAAAATGCAGAATACAGAAATATATAAAGTGAAAAATTTGAGTGCCTTTATCTGCTTTCTCTTCAACCCATTGCTCAGAATTTAACTGTATTTGTCATGTATCCTTGCAGCTCTTTTTCTATTCCTTTCAAATAGCCCACATCCCCATATAGATGCATATGCTCTTTCCTTGAAAAAAAAAAACAAAAATAAGATTGTTCTGTACATACTAGTCTGCAAGTTGTTTTCTTTTATGTAACGTCCTAGAGGGCCTCATTCTATAAACTGGCAATTTAAATGCCTCAGAGTTTAGTATTTCCAAGAACCCTTCATAAATCATTCTGAAGAATAAAAACCTTAGATTGTGCAACGAACCACTCCCTAATAACTTTGCATGTTGAACCTCTGCCTCCTCAGCCCCCAGCAGTTCGGTGTCAGCTGAGATGTGGGGTAGCTGCGGGGTCAGGAGTCAAAAGGCACTCCTGTGTGATTCTTTGCCTGCAGTCTCTCTCTCCTTTATCCCTGACTTCCACCAGAGAGGTAGTAAGAGGGAGGGTGCCTGTATATTCTTCCAGTTAAGCACAAATAAACTCTGAGCATCCTCCTTTTCTTTGGTAGTTTCATCCATCAGGAAAGCCAGATGATTTTAACATGCAGTGAGAAGGTGCTGGAATAGAGGAAAAGACTGGGATGTGATAAGGCCTCTAGGGGCTCTCAACGTGAGTTAAAAATAAACACAGCACTAAACTGTGAAAGAAGTGTGAGGAGGTCCAAAAATATGATTTTCCTCTTGATGACTGCAATAAGGCTTTAGAAAATACACAGGTTTCCCCCTTCCTGAAAGTTCACGTTCCACCACTTTGCTTTTATGAAAGCCCTGCATTAGTACCTGCTTTCGCTAACCGAAAGAAATCCAAAGAGAATTTCCATTTTTACGAGAAAAAAGCCATTGCCATACTAATGTAGAACTTCATAAAAGTGCAGTGGCTTAGTGCAAACTTTCAAAAGCAGGGGATACCTGTACATATATCTAAGTCAAATTTCTTTAAAAAAAATCGGGGGGCCTCTACTTTGTCAGGACTCACAGAGATGCTGCTGAGAGTCAGATCCTCAACAAACATTCAGTGAATACCCACCGTGCACCCGGCTCTGGGGCTCTCACTGGAACTCAGCGAGCTGGACACTCAGGTGTGCATCTCACAACTGATTCCAACACAGTACATTCTTTTTTTCTTTTTTTTTCTTTTTTTTTTTTACAATGCATTCTTCCAACTTTGATTCAGTAAGTGTTTACTATGTGCCAGGCCAGCAGTGTGCTAGAGCCAGTTCCTACAGTGAGAGTTGATTCCTAAATTTTCAGGACTACTGAAAACCAGAAGCAAACACAGCCATTATTAAGAATTAAGTTCCATAAATTTAGGCTTAAATAAATTGTATTAAAACCAAAGGTAGTGGGGCTTCCCTAGTGGCGCAGTGGTTGAGAGTCCGCCTGCCGATGCAGGGGACACGGGTTCCTGCCCCGGCTGGGCCCGTGAGCCATGGCTGCCGGGCCTGTGCGTCCATTGCACATTTTTCTATCATCTACGTCCTTGACGTTATTTCCACCTATTGTGTCTGACTGGTGGGTGTGCAGCCTCTCTTCTCTGTGTGAGACCGTGCGCTACAGGGTTAACAGAAGTCCGTGAGTGTGTCCTACCGAACAGCAGATAAGGGAACCACCTGTTAGAAACCTCTCTGCTTGCAGCCTCCTTTACTGATGAAGCCTGCTTATTTGTTTGTTTTTCCATTCTCTAACTGCATCCCCTCCAAGCTTCACATAGCCTAGGTAATGTATCACCAGACTTCTAAACTACCCTTATAGATAACGCTTCTGATGTATGGGTCACTATAGTAACAGGGGGCTTGTTTTTGTGAACTTTGGAGTTGGCTCCTGCCAAGTTCAGACCAGCTAAAACTAGTTCGGACCACCGACCCTAAAACTGCGCCTGCGCAGAACACTGACAGCCTCACCTTTTCCCTGCCTCCGATCACCTTTCCCCACACCTAAGACCACCCTGCTTCTTTATCCCATGAATATCTCAAGCCTCTGGCCTTCTGGTACGCGGGCCTGAGATTTGTTCTCTTGTCTCCTTCCATGAGGACCTCGTCAACAAACTCTCTGCTGCAAACTTGTGTCTCCGTGTTTGGCCTGCTGCTCCTGTGGGGCACACAAACCTGGCTTGGTAACAAATGCTGAGTTCAGTTTCCTCATATTGGTGGCTTGAAATCGGCCATGGTGGGAGTATTTACACCAAGGAAATCTACAGATCTACCAATTAATTCCTTGTTGACTGTTTACTTAAGGAAGTGAGGAGGGAATGTTAATAATGCAGATTAAACTTGAATGTGTATATGGGGTCTGTAGCCTTTACCTCATGAATAGCACAAGTTGAGGAAATAACTCTTCCAGTACTTGACACTATTATTCGACTCAGCAGAGAAGTTCCTTACTCATGTCATCAACGTGTGAGTGAAGCTCCAAAGGAGGAAAGTAACTGAAGAAAGTTTGGAAGCAGTGAAGATGCAACGTTGGGTTTCACTTTACTTTTTTTTTTTTTAATTTTTTGTTCGCGCAGCACAGCATGCAGGATCTTATTAGTTCCCTGGCCAGGGATGGAGCCTGCGCCCTTGCAGTGGAAGCATGGAGTCTTAACCACTGGACCCCCAGGGAAGTCCATTTCACTTAACTCTTAACGTAAAAGAAAATCAGCCAACATTCGGGTCATAGCTATATTCCTTTGGCAATGGCAATGGGGTGAGCAACTTATTCGCTGAAGGGGATAGAAATCAAACATTTATCCGTGGTCTGACTTTGTGACATTACAGAATTAGAAAAACCCACACTGGATTTTGCAAGGCACACCAAGGTTACAGCCGCATGTAACTTAGAATACAGAGTTGTGTACCGTTGTTCGTTCTCGTTCTCTCTCCCTCTCCCTCTCTCTCTCTCTCTCTCCCTCTCTCTCT